GGAACTCACTGGCTGCATGAAAGTTCGCAGCATTGCCCTTTGCTGGTCTAAGTGAGCAGTTCACAGAGATTACCCACAGGGGCCATGAGAGCAGCGACCAGGTTTCACTTTGCTCCCCTGGAGTAACCAGCACCCAGCATAATGGCTAGCTCAAAGAAGATTAAAAAAAAAAATCATCTTGAAAGCCTGGCCAGTGTGGCTCAATGGTTGAACATTGACCTATGAACCAGGAAGTTATCGTTGGATTCCCGATCAGAGTACATGCCCAGGTTTTGGGCTTTGTCTCCAGCAGGGGGCATGCAGGAAGCAGCCAAAGATTCTCTCCCTCCCTCTCTGAAATGAATAAAAACATACTTTAAAAACATTTTGAAAATAAATGAATTAAAGCATGAGACTCCAAATGAAGTTATATAGAGAAGAGCTTTCTTCTTCTATTCATTCATTTACTCACTTACTGTATACTTATGTCTAAGGGAGAAGGTAGCGATTGGATACAAGGGAAATGATGGCTTACTTAACACAATTAGAAGAGGCATTTAACAGAAGGGGGTGAGGAGTGAGGGCACACTTATCAGGAAGGTGGATGACCTGAGGAGCTAATGTTTATCTTGACTGTGTAAAAAGGAAAAAGAAAAACCTAACAGTAAATGAAAGAGGTGAGGGGATGAAAGTGTGTGGTGAGAATTCCAGGCCGCGGGAAGTAGTTTAAGGTGCAGAGTACTGTACATTCAAGAAACTACAAGAGCCCGGCTGGCGTGGCTCAGTGGTTGAGCATAGACCTATGAACAGGAGGCTACAGTTCGATTCTTGGTCAGGGAACATGTCTGGGTTGCAGGCTCCATCCCCAATAGGGGGCATACAGGAGGCAGCCAATCAATGATTGTCTCTCATCATTGATGTTTCTCTTTCCCTCTCTCTTCCTCTCTAAAAACAATAAAAATATTTTAAAAAGAAACTATAAGAGCACAAAGGGCCAGGTAGGAGTGGAAGGAGATGAGGCCCGAGAGGGAAGGACCAGATTTCAGTGGCTTAGGGGTCAGGTGGAGAGTAGCTTCATCCTGAAATGACTGGAGAGTAGTGGGAAGGATGTAAAAGTAGGATGACATCATCAGATTTATTTTAGGAAGTCACCCCAGCTGGCAAATGGATTGGAGGGAGATAAAAGGATAAAACGTGGGTACGAGAGATGAGGATGGCTTAGTCTGAGGTGATGATGGTGGGGACGCAAGGGTCACCAGAGCACTGAGGCAGTGAGGGGGTGGGGCTGGAGAAGTATCTGCTTGTTTTCAAACAGCTTGAGAAAGAAACAGCCAAACCACAAAAGTACAAGTAAGATGCCATTTTATTCCACATCAGCCACTTCTTTTCCTCTTCGGGCCTTCGCTGAAGGCTATTGACATTGATCAGCATGGATGTGAGTGCTGAGGCCCAAGAGGCTCTGGTTTGAAACCTTCTCCCCTGTGGGAACAATGAGTGGAAAGGAAAAGGGACTAGAAGCAAGAGGTAGCAGCGAACTCTTGGTGGACTGTGCGTTATGCATAAAGATGCAGCTAAAGACAGTCTTCGCCTGGAATGAGCAGTCAGCAAAAACTAAAATTAGATCAAGGCTCTCCATTCCTGTAGTGTGTTCTAGGACCTTGGGGTGAGGAATTTGTAACTTGCAAAAGTATGTTCAGTATTGCAATCACTTTATATTTGGAAGGCAAGCAAACAAAAACGGCCTCCATTGTTTTGTGCTATAAATGAAAGGAGAAGATGCAGACAAAATCATCCAGGCTGTGGGATGTGCAAATGTTCTGTGTCTATGTGTCAGGGGCCTGGAGGAAAACTGGAATCTATCTGGGGATTGGGGATGAGTGGCAGAGACATTATGCTTATCCAAGAGGAGAGGGAGCCAGAAAGTTTGAGAAACAGTGAATTAAAGTCATATAAATACAATACTTTGGTTATAAAGACCAAGACTTTATTTCATTGTATTTTCTGCGTTTGTTAAAATATAACATAAGCATCACATTTGACATCTATTACTCCAGTCTCTGAGGTAGCCCCCGGGATCTGGAGACTAGGAAGACATCACTCTGTCCTCAGGATTACATGATCTAGTACAGTGGTCGGCAAACTCATTAGTCACCAGAGCCAAATATCAACAGTACAACAATTGAAATTTCTTTTGAACGCCAAATTTTTTAAACTTAAACGTCTTCTAGCACCACTTCTTCAAAATAGACTCGCTCAAGCCATAGTATTTTGTGGAAGAGCCACACTCAACCACATGTGGCTCAAGAGCCGCAGTTTGCCGACCACTGATCTAGTAGAGAAGACAAGACACAAGAGTTACTTATATTTTAACATTATAGGCATGATAATAGGAGCACTTACAAAGAACGCAGGGTGAAGAGGGATTGACTTATAGTTGCTTATACAGTTCCTAATAGTTGTCAACATGGATTAACATTGGGGAATATGTACATCCCCATATATTAATATATCAATAAATATAAACAATCCTATAAAATCTAGAATCCTCACAGCTTCCCAGGAGAGGCACCATACCCAAGAGCAGATGTGACTGAGGCCTGCCAAGGTGAGATATAACTTGGCTAAGATATAAGTACTAGATGATCAACATCAGCAATCCCAGGTCAAAAGGGACTCTAAGTTTAGCCTTTTTTTGTGACAGCATATTAAACTTGCCTGTTTTTTTGTTTGTTTGTTTGTTTTTGCTATTGTTTTGTTTTTGTTAATCCTCTCCCAAGAATATTTTTTCCATGAATTTTTAGAGAGAGTGGAAGGGAGGGGGAAAGAAAGAGAGAAACATCAATGTGAGAGAAACACATTGACTGGTTGCCCCTTCTGCATGCCCTGATCAGGGCCGGGGATTGAGCCTGCTACCAAGGTATGTGCCCTTGATCAGACTCGAACCGGGGACTCTTCAGTCTGAAGGCCGAGGCTCTATACACTGAGCCAAACCAGCTAGGGCTGTTTGTTTTTTCTTAATAAAAATCAAGACACAAGTTTAGGTTTCGTTTTAGTCAACATTTTCAGGAATTGAAGCCTGAATAAATTTGTTCTTAAGCCCTAAAATATGTTCTTCTGACAATTCGTTTCCTACTTCCTAGGTTCACCTTATAGATTTTCTGTGACTGAGAGGAAAGGCCAGGCTTGGGAACCAGACAAATCTGGTTCAGATCTGGCTCAGGACTCGCTGGCTATGCCATCTTAGACAAGCACCGGCATACTCTAGTCCTCAGTCCCCCAGGTGGCACGCTGGGGAAATAAGATTAAATAAGATGGACGTAAGGGCACGTGGCTCTGAGTAGGTTCTCTGGCTCTATCTCTACCACCACCACCATCTGAGCTACTGTCGTTCACCTGAATTATTGCAAATGTTTTTCTTCGTTCATTCTGGACCACTCTGATCTGCTCATTTCTTCTGAGATAGCAAAAGTGATTGTAATACCATATCCTATATAATCTTATATATTATAATAAAACCCTAACATTCAAATAGACCAAAAGGTGGAATGACTGGTCGCTATGACCTGCATTGACCACTAGGGGGTACTGACCACATAGGAGCTGCCCCTGGTGGAGCTGCCCTTTGGTGGTCAGTGTGCTCCCACAGGGGGAGCACTTAGCCAGAAGCTGGGCTCACTGCTGGCAAAAGCAGAGCCTTTCCCACCTCCATGGCAGTACTAAGGACCCCTTGGGGGATGTCCCACTGCCCGCTTAGGCCCGATTCCCAGTGGGCCTAAGCCGGCAGTTGTACATCCCCTGAGAGGTCCTGGATTGCCAAAGGGCAGAGGCTGGGCTGAGGGACCCTCCCCCATCCTGCCCAGTGCACAAATGTTGTGTACCAGGCCTCTAGTTGAAAGATGAAAATCATCAATATGATTTATAATATTTTTTTCCAAACTGTAGCTCATGAGCCATTAGTGGTTCATAGAAACAATTTTGTGGATCACCAATGGCATGAAAAAACACACACACATAAAATAGATCAGAATAGAAATACCAGCTTGCAATGACGAGCATAAGTATTATTACATGAAAGTTGTTTTCTTATTATGAGTCCTGTCAAAAATGTTTGAAGGCCTCTGGCCAATGATACACTAAAGTATATGACCCTGCCTCCTTCTTTACTCTCATTTCTCCTACTCTCCCAGTTCTCTGCTCTAGGCCCACACCAGCCTTTTTTAAATCCCACCAACACAGGCTGTTTTAGTCCAATTAATGTCATCTACAAGGTCTCAGCTCAGACTCCACTTCTTCAGGCACACCCCATGGTCGGTGTCTAATTATTCCGTTAATAGAATGATTCTGTGATGAATGAAAGGCTTTGCTGCTAGGCTGTCCTCCTCACTCCTGTCCCTGACACCTGACCGAGGCCAGCACGCAGGCGCTCCGTGCGATGAATGAAGCAATGAATCCACCAACCTATCAACCCCTGCTCTTGCCTGGCCTCCTTGTTTTCTTGGTTATTGGTTTTGTTTCTAAGCTTTGCACTTAGATAAACTGCAAGGTTCTGTATTGGCTGCCATTTTAGGAACTTCTTAGAACTCCAGGCTTCTGATCTGCTAAGGATAACATAAACGTGGTGTTCCGGTGCAGGCGGTTGAGCATTCGCTGGGAGGGGTAGGCTAATTTCCATCGGATTTTAGAGGGGACTCTGCCCACCTGCTCCCATGAGAGCTACAGTTCTTTGATCATCTCACAGGGCCCTTCGCCTCCCCAGGGGTCCCTGCGGGCATGGGATCCCTGTGGGCATAGGCTCCGGATTGTACTCGGCGCCCAGCCCAGGGGACCATCCCTTCCCAGCCCCTCCGGTGAGTCCGACTGCTCGGATCTCACGCCCCCGGGAGCTCGGTCCCCGCAGTCTGCGGAGGCGAGTCGGAGCGGCGGCAGGTGCCTGCGTCTCGGAGCCTGGGTGCAGCCCAGGGCCGCTGCCCGCATCCCCAGCCGCGGCTGCAGGCCTCTGCAGCCTCCATCACCGCCAGGGAGGGAGGAAGGGCGGGTGCGCGGGAGGCGCGGCCTCGGGATGCGGACCCGCCCCCGCCGCCGGGGCCGCCCAGCCCGGCCCCGCAGTGCGATCGCCCGGCCGCGCCTCACCCGGTTCCGACTTCCCCTCCAGCCCGGCTCGCGCCCCGCGCCCCGCGCCCCGCTCCCCGCTGCGCCCCGCGCCCCGCCGGCCACCGGAGAGCCCGCGCCGCCCGCCCGCCGCGCCCGCAGAGGCCGCCATGGGCCCCGCGCGCTGGCTGGCGCTGGGCAGCCTCCTCGCCCTGGGCGCGCGGCTGGAAGGCCGGCTGGTGGGCGAGGGGGACGCCGGCTTCGGCGAGTGTGACCGGTTCTTCTACGCCGGGACCCCGCCCGCAGGGCTGGCGGCCGAGGGCCACGTGAAGATCTGCCAGCGCTCCGCGGGCGCCGCGCGCTTCGCCACCCTGTACAGCCCCGCGGACCGCGGCCCCGTGTTCTCCGCCTTCCGCGACCCTCGCCCCGCGCCCGCCGGCAAAGAGCCGCACTGGCTGGTGGAGCCGCAGGTAAGGGAGGTGGGTCCCCGGCCCCGCGCCGGGGGTGCCCCCCCGGGGTAGGACTGGGAAAAGCAGTCCCAACGCAGGACCGGGAAAAGCAGCCCCCACGCCCTCGGTGCCAGGGTCAGGAAGCCCGGGTTTCGGACCCACCCACTGCGCCCCTGTAGGCACAGCCTATCTGGCCCCTGTCGACACCACCGCCACCGCAGGCAGGAGCTCGGCGACATCCGAGCCTTCGCCTAAGCCGCAGGGGCCGGAGGTGGTGCTCTCTACGTTTCGCATAGACGTCTGCAGGGCTTCATTCATTTCCTGAGTGGAGAGAGGGGCGTGAGAGCAAGGCCGTGGCCATCCTGCAGATGAGCGGGAACCCCAGGCTGGGAGCTCACAGGCCTTGGGACTGGTCATGGTCACAGTTTTTAGGCAGGGGGTGGGCATGTTCATGCCCATTTTGCAAAAGGGGAGATGGAGGCTCAGGAGGAAGAGGCCTGGGGAAGGGAGGACCGCCTGGCTGGGAAGCTGGGCCAGGTCTCTTGGCTGGAAGTTCACTGCCCTTCCTACGAGGGAAAGCTGACTTCTGCAGAGGCCGCCTGAACCTGAGGCCCTTCCCTTATGCCCAGACAGCCAGTACATTCTGTCTACAGTTGTGTTGAGTTGGGACAATAAGATAAAGGTATAGGCTCTTAGGAATGCAATGGGAGAATTACAAATAACATGGAAACATTGACTACCTGCGGTTAATGCAAAGGACAAACCAGTTTTTCCTGACTCTTTATGTCTATGTTACTTGGAAGTCATGTTTGGGGAGAGTAACCAAACACTCCAACAGGCCCCCAGAGGCCCTGCTGAACCTGACAGCATGTGCATGCCCACCTCAGCTCAGCCAGCCTCCTCCCGCCACCCCTCAATATATTTTTTTATTGATTTCAGAGAAGAGAGAGGGAGCAAGAAATAGAAACATCAATGATGAGAGAGTATCATTGATCAGCTGCCTCCTGCACGTCTTCCTGCACCGGGTGTGCCCTGACTGGGAACTGAACTGTTACCTGGTTCATATGTTGACCCTCAACCACTGAGCCACACTGGCCGGGCTAGCCAGCTTCCCCTTTGGCCAGTTCTCCGCCTCTCACCAGCCTCTCACCTACCTCTGCGCCTGCCCCAGCTGCCAAGGCCACTCAGATGACTGAGGAATTGAGCCACTCAGCCCGCCCATTCACGATGGCCTCACCTCTGCAGGACCACGTGGGTGAACCGGAGACCTGATTTCAGGCACTTCATTCAGAGCCCTGGAGCGTAATCTCTGTCATCACCGTCAGATATTTCTAGCTCTGAGAGTTTGCCAAGCAATCTGCACCTCAGTCTCCTTACCTTCTCCACCTCCATCCCACCTTTCTCCCCTGCCCATGTCAGAGCCTCTGAGATCAGGCATGTGCAAACGCCTTTGTAAAGTGGGCACACGTAGGACATACGGTATCTAAAGTTAGCTTGCCCCCCACGGCACCCCCTGTGCGCTCTCCATATCCTCCAGCTCACTGGGCATTGTGAGGGTGGGCCCGTGAAGAAAAGAGACGATGATCTGGACTTTACTCCTCGAGAATCTATCTCATGGACACCTCGGGAAGATAGGACATACATGACGGGGAGGCACGGGAATACAGTTTGCAATCACCTACTGTGCGCCAGGCACTGAGGGTACCGCGAGAATAGCGTGTTGCTCTTGAACTCAGAGGCTTGCTGGCCTTCAGGTGAAGCATGCTGGGTGGAGCGATGGCGTGGGTTAGTCTTTCCATGGGTAGCTGTAAACATGGCAGTAATTACAGGGTGGTTCTGAGAACTAAATGAGTGACTATATGCAATGTCCTCGGAGAGGCGCTGGCACCTGATTCTAGGTTATTATGACATAAGCAAGCCCCATAATGCAATAAAGGTAAACGAAGTCCGATTCTGTTTAATCTACCCTCGGAGGTGATAGGGAAAGCCCTGGGGTCAGGATGACGTTGGCGCTGTGGGCTTCACAGGATGGAGCGGGATCCAGAAGGGAGACTGCAGCAGGAAGCATTCCAGAGCAGATTCAGGGATTAGTGAGGGGCGTGGGGAGTGGTTGGGGCAGCTGTAAAGGGAGTGGATTACAGTCTATTCCTGTGTTCAGAAGGAAGGGGAGTCATGGGAGGGAGGGGTCCGGTGTGAAGGAGTCATCAAGGAGAGCTCAGTTATTGAAGGAGTCACAAAGGAACAAGGGTGAGCAGAGAGGAAGTGGACAGAGCCCCACCTCAGCCTGGGCCTTTGGGGGTGGGGGTGGGTGATGAGGAACGGGACTAAGGAGGTAAAGGAGATTGGGAAAGGAGAAGTAGTTAAAGCGGCGGCTCTGGAGGTGAGCCATCCAGTGGTTTGGAGAAGTGCAGGAGCCAGAGTTCTTAGCTAGGGAGGTCTGAATGGTCACAAATCTGATACCTCCCCCTGCAAGCTGGGCTTTGTCCTCCTTCCCTCTTTTCCTGCTACAACTGCAGGTCCACGGAAGTCAGGAGGGGGGGGAGGGAAGGAGCTGGGAGATGAGATGCGGGCAGCACTGGAGCTCACTGCAGCAAACCTGACCGCCCTGCCTGCGGCCGGCTCCCCAGGCCTGCCTCTCCCCACTGCAGAAGGGTGTCCAGGGCTCCGTGTGACCTCTGGCTGCTTCCTCGCTGTTTGAATACTGAGTCACCTGTGCCCACATCACCTTTTAATGAGGTTAGCATCACGGAGAGGCCGAGCAGACTGGCGAGGAAGAGGTAGAGCCCCGAGGAGCTGTAGGCTGGCCATTGGCGATGAGCCAGGCAGGGCTGCCCTGGCCCTGGGGCTCCTCGAGCCCAATCCGGGAGCTCTTCACGTCTGTCCTGCAGTTTCCCTCTGAAAGAACAAGTCCTAAGTCGAAAATTGAGTCACACGTGTGCTTAAAACCTTTAAAGTATTGGCTGCCCCACACCGACAGGACAATGTTCACCAGCCCCCCTGTCCTGCCTCCAGCCCCAGGCTTGTTTCTGACTCCACCCCCTTCTCACTTGCCAGGTCCTAGCATTGTCCAGCTGCCTTGAGCGCCTCTCATAAACCATATTGTTTACTGCATCGGTTTCTTTGCTCATGGTCATTATTCCTTTTGCCCCAAATGCCCTTTCTGCACTGCCCTCATCTTGCTTCTCACTTCTCCCTCCCCTGCTCCATCCTTTAAAACTGCCAAGGTGTCACCTCTTCCAGAAAGAATGGCCCGCCTGAGTTAGGTCCACCACTCCGTGCTCCTATAATTTCTCTATTGTTGCACTTACCACATTGTTTTAGAATTACCTGCTTATGTGTTTGTCTCTCCAGTGCGAGCTTCTGAGGACTGCTTTTTATTCACACTTGTATTCCAAGTGCCTACCATGTACAAAGCACTCAGTGACTATTGAATAACATAATTTGATATTAGGGTCAGTCAGGCAGTGGGTGAGAGGTTCAGCTGGAGCTTTCTTGGGGGGAGCTTACTGCCTCAGAAGCCTGTCCTGTCACTGGCCAGCAGCCGCTGTTACAAACACGTTCCATGTGCGGCGCTGGAACCTTCCTCTGTCTACCCATCATTCCTAGCGCTACCCCAGATGATCTGGGTTTCTGCTCTGGATGGCAGCTCTTTAGTGTCAGACACAGGAGTCCGTGTCTGCCCACACTGCAGGAATTTAAATGGGATTTCTGAGGAACAGAATGAGAACTTTGAAATGAAGCAGAGAGCCCTAGCCAGTTTGGCTTAGTGGACCGAGCATTGGTTTGCAGTCTGAAGGGTCCCAGGTTTGATTCCAGTCAAGGGCACATGGTTCAGGTTGCAGGCTTGATCCCCAGTGTGGGGGTGAGGGGGGGGAGCGTGCAGGAGGCGGCCGATCAATGATTCTCTTATCATTGATGTTTCTATCTCTCTCCCTCTCCCTCTCCCTCTCTGAAATAAATTTTTAAAAATCCTACCTAATAAAAGAGTAATATGCAAATTAATCATCACTCTGCAACAAAAATGGCAGCCCCCATAGCCACAAGATGGCGGTGCCCAGTCCCCTTAGCTCTGCTGCTAGAGTGTCTGGGCCTGTTCGCCCCAGGGAGCGGATCCAGCCTTCCCGCTTCACCAGTGTTGCAGTGGTTGGGCCCCTCAGCCCCTCAGGGGTTCTCACAGACCAAGCAACAAGCTGGATCTGCCCCCAGACACAGCAGACAAAGCCCGGACAGCAGGGCTTGGGTGCTTCCTTAGTAAGGTGGTGGCGGGAACACCCCCAGGCCCTGCAAACAGCCAGGACAGCAGGGGATAGGGGCTTCCTTAGTGTGTCAGTGTCGGCGAAGCCCCCAGGCCTGGCAGACAGAGCACACTGCAGGGCATTTGGGCTTCCTTCACATGGCACATGGTGAGGTAGGCAGAGAGCAGACAGCAGGGCTTGGGGGCTTCATCTCCATGGCTGCAGCAAGATCTCCAGGCCCTGCAGAGAGCTGAGAACCATGGGGGTGGGCCTGAGCCATCAGTTGGACATCCCCTGAGAGCTCCTGGATTGTAGAGGGTGCAGGTTGAGCTGAGGGACCCCTGTGCATGAATTTTGTGCACTGAGCCTGTAGTATATATATTTAAAATGAAGCAGATTTTTAAAAATCTGAGAAAACAGCTGCCTTAGGTTTTATGTGGAATGTGGTCACCTTTAAATTGAGAATGGGGAGAAGGTGAGAGAGAGGAAGAGGAGAGATGAGAAGAGAAAATGTGTTCCTGTTATCCTGGTGCCAATAGTGTGGAGGTTTCCAGTCAAGACTCTAAGACTCCGGAGACCTGAGACTTGGGTTCTCAGTACAAGGAGCCTCAAACCATTCAGTTTCTCAAGTCCTTCCCGTTTAGTGGGAGACTTTGTAGATGAGGTGCCCGTGACGCCTTTCTAAAGTACATTGTCAGTTCATGCCATCATATAAGACCATCATTTTATGAACATGAATACTAGAAGTATCTGGTTTTATATTCCACTTACAATTATTTCAACTTATACAAATACTGTGAGGTAGATATCATTTTCTTCAGAGTAGAGATGAGGCCCAGTGAGTTCATTTCAGATCTTAGTAAATGTTATGTGAACGGCTGTCACAGTTTAGAACCTTAAGTTCTTGACCTTTCATTTCCACCAGTGGCTTCTTGCTTACACACCCTGAAACTGTTAGACACACTATCTGATTTATTCCAACACCAGGCCTCTTCTCAGGAACAAACAGATAGAAGACACCATACACTTAATTTTCTGTGTAGGGGATGCAGCAAATGGGACGATTCTGGTTCTTCTTATTTAAGAAACTCAAGTTCAGATCCCTGCCCTGCTTTTACAGGCCACGTGACCTTAAATTCTTCCAGTCCTATTTTTCTGACCTACTCATTGAAGGTAATAACAAATGTCAATTTCATAAAGTGGTTGTGACAAATAAACAAGACAACACATAAGCATGCAGCATAGTACCTGGAAGATGATATGGTCTTAGTAAATATTCATATGCATACTTTTTTAAGGTCTTACTCTAAAAGGTGTTACACACACACACACACACACACACACACACACACACAAATGGATGTTGAAATAGGTGGCTCCTGCAATTCTATAAATATTTCCTACAATGTTAAATAGCCATCTGTATATCTTCTCAAATATAAGGCGTGTGTCCCAGATTCGCATAACAGGTGCTCAGAAAGTGCAAGGTGGAGATTGACGGGATGGAAGATTGAGTGGATGGATTTAGGTAACTGAAAAAAACAAAAACAAAGCAGGTGCCAGGAATACCTCCACCCTCCCTGTCCGGATCAACCGAGAGGTGTGTTGTTACAAAACAAGCAATGAGCAATTACATTCCGATCTATTCTGCTGAGCCTGGGTCAGGCTGAGCACCTGGCTGGAAGGGATTCCTCTGTCAGTCGCACACAATTCCTTCTTCACTGTAGTGCAAATAGCAAGAACCAGGAGGCACGCAGGCTGTTCTTCATTGCATTTTTCTCCCTTTCTGACTTTTTATTTAGTTCTGAATTCAGTGTTTCCATTTGATTTGCAATTATTTTCAGGAGCAAGTTAAGGTATCTGCCCTATATTGGCAGAACATTGTAGGACATTTTGTCCTGCCACAGTCCAGGTGTGGCAGATCTGTACATCATTCTTTCAGTTCAGACTTAAATTTGGACAGTCCAGGAAAGGAACTGTTGTTTATTTATTTATTTATTTTATTTATTTATTGATTAAGGTATTAGATATGTGTCCTTATTCTCCCATTACTCCCCACCTCCCATTCATGCCCCCACTCAGAACTATTGCTTATTGATCCTTTACGAGGTGCAAAGGTCTTCACAAATTAATTCATTTATACAACTCCACGTTTTATGGTTATGATGCTCCATGTTTTATAGTTTAGGGAACTGAGCGTCAGGGTGGTTACATAACTTACCCACGGTCACACAGCTGCTAGATGGCAGAGCCTGGATTGAAGCCTATGGCTGCCCAGCCCCAAAGCTCTCAGCCCTCTTTCTGCTCTGTCCTGCTGTCTTCCGATCACAATGCCAGTGTGTTCTCCAGCTTCCGAGTTGACTGACTATGTTTGTTAGTTTATTTGTTATTTGGCTGAATTAATCCAGTTCTTTGGATGATTGTCTGCTTTCCTTCTAACATAACCATTCTGAAAATCCCACCTTCGGGCTGTCGTTAGCTCAGTTATTAGCTCATGGTGACTGAATGGTGCTTTCCTTCAGACATAAAGATTTTGTTCTTTGGTTTTCAAATTTCTCTTCCTTTTCCACTGTAGGCTTGACAAGTGAAAATTGGAAAAAATAAGTCCTCCCACTTGCCAGTAGCTGTCACTTCCAGTGGTCTGCTCTTGCTCCGAGAATTTCTGTTCGTTCAAGAATGTTTTCTCCTTCAAGTGGCATATCATGTCTCCGGCGTGGTCACGTGCCCTTTTGTTCCATAGGACCTGGCATCTATGGCAGCGATAATTGGTTGCCTGCTGATGTACCCACTGCGGCCACTGAACGGAAGGGGGGAGAAAGAAGAAACTACCACATAGGGTGAACCAAATATAGAAGCACCCCTTCGTATTCCGGTCCTGCATTTACTTCCGT